AATAACTTGACCGCAAAAACAAAATGCTCCGTTTTAATGTTATACGGATACTAATGTTAAAAATGTTTGGAAAAAAAATAAAAATTACCGATGTTAGTTGTTTAAGAAATAAAATTAATAGAAGGTAAATATTGAATAAAATCAATAGGAGCTAAATATTGGAATTCAAAGTTCACCTCATATTAATCTTAAAATGTAATTCAGTTATAAGCTGATTTCTTCATATGAAGCATCTTATGATCTACTGAACAAAATATGTATTAGCTAAATCTAAATAATAGATAATTATTGAGTTATAGTCAGTCAAACAGTTCACAAAATTTTAGTCTTAAATGTTTAATTGATTGTAAATCAATAATTGTCTATTGTTTAGCTTTGAGCCTATTACATTTTTTGTTCAGTAAATCATAAGTCATAACATATGAGAAAATTAGCTGATTTTATCGGGAAGCAATTTCATCTAAAATGCCATATATAAATTCAAAAATTTAGTAACTAATCTTATATAAAATTAAATCTTAATAGAATCTGTTGGTTTTTTCATATATTGTAGCTTATGATCTGCTGAACAAAAATATAATAGACTCAAAAAAATCTAAATAATAGATAATTATTGATTTACAACCAATTAAACACAAAAAACTCACAACTAGACTACATACTGCTTAGACTCACCGATTTGAACTAAAAATAATTAGATAATATCTAGACATAACTTATCCTGATAAAACCTTTTAAGGATATAAGAGTTTTAACAAGGCTCTGTAATATAAATATAAATTTAACGTATAAGACGGGCAACAAGAGCCAAATCGCGGATGACAATGCGTTGTTCTAACGAAACTAAATAATTTTTCGTTAGAATTAAATACCGGTGCACAAGGCACCAAATTTTTACTTGGACACGGCCAAGATTTTAAATATGAAATAATCTCATATTTTGAGATTTAATTTCAATACCCCTTTAACCCCCTACGGAAAATAAATAAATGAATGCAAGAGAAAAATATAGATCCGAAAATCGCTGAATCGGGAATCGAACCCGAGACCTTTCGCTTGCCGGGCGACTGCTCTTCCAGCTGAGCTATTCAGATCCTTTCGATTCTATACTTTTCTCTGTTATATATATTAATGTTGGTAAACAAACACACGCTGGCTTAAAAAATGCGTTTGTTTACCAACATTAATATATATAACAGAGAAAAGTATAGAATCGAAAGGATCTGAATAGCTCAGCTGGAAGAGCAGTCGCCCGGCAAGCGAAAGGTCTCGGGTTCGATTCCCGATTCAGCGATTTTCGGATCTATATTTTTCTCTTGCATTCATTTATTTATTTTCCGTAGGGGGGTTAAAGGGGTATTGAAATTAAATCTCAAAATATGAGATTATTTCATATTTAAAATCTTGGCCGTGTCCAAGTAAAAATTTGGTGCCTTGTGCACCGGTATTTAATTCTAACGAAAAATTATTTAGTTTCGTTAGAACAACGCATTGTCATCCGCGATTTGGCTCTTGTTGCCCGTCTTATACGTTAAATTTATATTTATATTACAGAGCCTTGTTAAAACTCTTATATTTGATACACGCTGGCTTAAAAAATGCGTTTGTTTACCAACATTAATATATATAACAGAGAAAAGTATAGAATCGAAAGGATCTGAATAGCTCAGCTGGAAGAGCAGTCGCCCGGCAAGCGAAAGGTCTCGGGTTCGATTCCCGATTCAGCGATTTTCGGATCTATATTTTTCTCTTGCATTCATTTATTTATTTTCCGTAGGGGGGTTAAAGGGGTATTGAAATTAAATCTCAAAATATGAGATTATTTCATATTTAAAATCTTGGCCGTGTCCAAGTAAAAATTTGGTGCCTTGTGCACCGGTATTTAATTCTAACGAAAAATTATTTAGTTTCGTTAGAACAACGCATTGTCATCCGCGATTTGGCTCTTGTTGCCCGTCTTATACGTTAAATTTTTTCCTTTTAAGGATGTTCGGGCAGTACAGGTACTTTTTCCCTCTGCTAAAAGTTTACTTTCTCACGTACAGTCAATTTCAAGAGTTAGACCATTTTTACATTTGGCAACGTTGTATAACATTTGATAGTGTATGTATATGTCATTCACAGCACTGAATGTTGTAGTTAAGCATGTAAACAAATTCAAACAATGGAGTCAAAAAATAAAGTATTGGGAAAGAAAACATCCACCGCGGTAAGAGTGGCGCTAGCGTAGCACAACAAATATGGCCGCCACGTCGACATCTTAGCTTTAATATTAATGACATAAAAAAATTATCATTTTGTTATTTTTACATAAGAAATGTTGACACTTTGTTTGGCTATATTGTGTGAGTATACCCGTGCATCGTTATCATCAAGAAACATGATCGAAGGCCAGAATATTATTAATTCTGGTATGATAATAATGTCCCAAGGAGAACAGAAAAGTCAAAATGATGTCAATTTGATGTCATATTGACTAAATTTATGTCATTTTTGGTCAATATTTAGTCAATATGACGTCAAATTGACATCATTTTGACCTTCTGTTCTCCTTGGGGTGCGGTGCAACAGAAAAGACAAAATGTAAAATAGATTTATATTCATTGTGCTTGTAAACAAGTGCCTTAACGTCAGAGCCGCACATAATAACAGGACGTTTAATTATATCTTCAATAAATAACAATGAGGAAAGTAAAATTTATATAGAAAAAATGAATTGTTCATGCAAAGCTGGAACAAGTCACAGTTGCAAACACATAGTAGCTGTGTTACTATATTGCAATCGGTACGTAAACTTTTTTACAAAATAAAAAAAACTTTCTATTCTTAATCGTGTCAAAGAATTGTTTTGCCTGACAGCGAATATGTTAGTCACGGTTCACTTTTTAAAATGATTAAATCACACTCTTGAATGAATGAAACTATTACTTTGGCATATAATTCTCTGGCAATACTTTCACATTTGTTGTCATGAATTGTATATTTATTTTATAAATTTTTCGACCACAATTAAAAATATTAATTTTACAAATATAATTGTAATTTACAGAAAGGATCTAAGCACATTAGAATTAGTGTCCTCAATTGATAGCTCCCTGTTATCATCGACAACATTTAATATTCTGAATCATTCTGAACGTTTATCCACAAATTCCACATTGCCAAATAAATTGGTTCTTGCGATTTTAGCACTTCCATATTTTGGAATTTGGTGAAAGCTTAAATTAACATTGTTATATCTTTTGGAGCCACACGTTTTTACGCAGCAACTTCCATCGGCTACTTTTCTTCTATGCTGAGGAGAAAATTCCATTATCTTCTCAACAAATTTATTTTTTAATTTTCTACAATGTTTTTTCAAAGTGCTTATTTTTCCACAAATTCACTGAATATCGTACAATGACGTACAATAAAACTGTCGATGCGGTAGCCATATTGATTAGTTCACGCAGCGGCCGCCAGTGTCGCACTAAATATTTAAACTCCCAATAAGGAAATACTAACCTAATAAGATAACTTCACTTCAATAACATTGACATTCAATGACAACTCGTCACTCTAATGTTGCTGCAACGAATGCAACGTTGCCACTTTTTGTCATACTAAGAAATTGCTCGAAAATAATTATTAAATAAAGAAAACAAGTTTCTCAATAAAGTTAAAAACTGGTATGGATAATTGTGTAATCTTACTTATTCTGGTTAAAAATTTCAAATTTTTTAATCATTTTTTACTGAGATATCATAACTTTTAGCCCATTTTCCATAAGACTACATGTAATTTTATTATTTAATTTTCCTATTAACAACCTTCTAAAATAATCTCAAATTTTAACAGATTTTTTTATGTTGAAATCTACAGAATATAATTGGATTTTCATCATTTTTGTCCTAATGCCTGAACATCCTTAATGCATGGGCCTTGATTATCCCTAGCTAAAATCTCAATGTAGCATTTTTAATAGTGTTTCAGAAGTAGCAAAATTTTCTAAATACGTTCCCAAGTAGCAAACTGCCGTCATTAAACGTCTAATGACGTCATTCGACGTCAAACTGACGTACGTTTGCTATCTAGAGTAACGGTCCATATTTTTCACCGCGAACATGTTGACCTGTAATTTTAAAGGGAAGTTTGGCAAGTGTAAAATTCAAAAAAATCTGAAACTTTGTATAAGTTTAGAGTAGATGAACCTAATCACGAAACAATTTTTTTTAGCTGCTGATATTCGGTTTTAGGGGTGCAGCATCCCCTTAAATAAAATCGGTGTTTACGTTTTCAAGCGAATATCGCCGAAATAATGAGAAATATAAAAAATGTTTCCAACAAAAGTTTTATGGTTTCGAAAGCTCTTTATAATGGCATGATCATATTTTGCAAAAATGTTTAATTTTTCAAAATACCCCCACCACGTATCTTTTTTTTTCATATTTAAATTTTTCTTGCAACTAAAATTAAAGTTTATTTCACGCCAAATTCAACCATATATAATAAAGTTGCGATCCGTAAACGTGTTTTTGAGAAATAAACTGAAAACATCCTTACAGGGTATGCTGTCAATTTTATCGGCCCGCTAATTTGGCTACGACTTCTCTTTCTCCCCTTCTCTCTGTAATTTTTCGCAATACAAGATAACGATGAAACAGATGTTCGTAATAAATCTAATCACGTAACTGATTTTTGTATATTACACATTTTATAAATAATATAGTAGTCAAAATATATCGTAAAAATCAAAGTTATCGATAAAGTAATTTCTGATTTAGACCTTTGGTAAAAAAAATTAAAGATTATCGTCTAGAATGAAATAAACACGGATGCACTAACGTATATGTAATATTTCCTGTTATGTACGTCATTATATTTATGAGAACGTTATCAACTTTGAATAGTTGAAAGGTTGAAGGATTATCGAGATTGATGTGATGCAATAAAAGGGAAGGTTATGGGAAGGCTATCTTTAATGTTCGTTTTCCTTATACAATTAGTATAAAAGCCATCCGCTTCTGCATTTCATTCATGTTATTTAATATATTGTACGTGTGATACTTTCTGTGGGAAAGTTTCATATAACATTTATTCAAGCATTTATGTCAAAATGTTGGCCATAAATACGGCGAACGTTATAAATTTGTTAATTACAACGTTTCACATTGCAAATCTCGCTGTCACTCCTGTTAATCATCGTGAAGTAGAACTCCACGATGCAATTTCAAATTTAATAAGGGATTCTCTAAAAGACGATATTACGATTGAATATGATTGGGGACTTGATTTTGATGATCCATCGGAACCTCAAGCTGTACAGTTTGTAGATTCGTATGATCCTCATGCTGAAGAAGATAACTATGAAATGAAGTTTGTATTGTAGATGACGAAGGTGGAAGTGTAGATTTAAATTATAAAAGAAAAGCGGTTGAATATTGGAACAGTGGAAAAAAAAGACGTTTATCCGTTTCTGTTGTACAGAATTGTTTTAGAAAGGTAAATTCTCATTAAAAATAAGTACAATACTAACTAAATATAGATAAACGTGTATAAATATCATAGTGGATAATAAACAGAAGTCAGGAACAACGTTTCATGTCGCATGTTCATCTGCATTCGATTAATTTTCTTGTGTTTGATATAATCTTTTAAATATTGGATCTTTTTTCTCTTTTAGGTAAAACATGTTTCGCAATTGTACAGATGGCAGGAGTATATAATGCGTGGAGGGACAAACAGAGACAAATTGATATTCATTGCCGAATATGTATTAATAAAATTTCAAGAAACTATTGATAGAGGATCTATTATTCATGACATCGATTTGCGAAGGTGGACGCTAGAAGCAAAGGAGCAAGTGAATTTTGCTACATTTAAAGCAGGACATTGGTGGATATGGAATTTTAAAAAAATTCATCGCATCACATCACGTAAAATAACGAAATTTAAAACGCAATCTAATTTACAAGCTGATGCACTGATACATCAAAATGCAGAAGAATTTGTGACAAATGTAAAACCACATATTGCTATAACTGGTGAAGGATCAACTTATAATGCAGATAAAAGCGGTTTTAATCTAGAAATACATTCTAGAAGAACATTAACTAATATGGGAGTAAAGACAGTCGATTCTACTGTTCAATCTTTATCTTCTATAAGTCATAGTTATACTATTATGCCAATTATATCTGCGAACGGGTATCTTCTTTCGCCTCTATATATCTTAAAAGAAACTACTGGGTCGTTTGAACCACGAGTAGAAGAAACTCTTTTCGACCTGCTAATGTTTACATTGCGACTTCAAAATCCGGAAAGCTCACAACCCAACACTTTACAAATTGGTTTTTAGAGGTATATCTTCCGAATACTAAAGAGAAAAGTTTGCTGTTGCTAGATTCATGGACAGGCCATTGCCCGGAACAGTTAATCACCTTTAAAAAAAGGTAAAAAAAGGCGACCAGTTAAGGGCACGCCATTAACAAAAATTATCCATTGCAAACCCATGTAGAATCCTATGAAATATTGCAAACCCATGTAGAATTGTATTAAAAATTATCCATTGCAAACTTATGTAGAATCCTACATTGCAAACCCATGTACAATAGAATTGTATGAAAAATTATCGATTATAAACCCATGTACAATCGTAACAAAAGTAATGAAATAAAAAAAAATTGCGCCAAGTGAAAGTAGAAACTTGTACCAGTGGAAAATTAAAGTTGCAGACATATATAGAGTCGTATAATGAATCAGTAAAAATTTAAATTTGCAAATGTAGAATCGTACCATAAAAAAACTTATCTTTTAAAAAAAAGATAAACAAGATGCCAAGTCCATGCGCCATGTGAAAAAGAAATAAAAAAATTTTAGTTAAAAAAACTGGGCGCGCTGCTAAGTTTCAAAATTACAATGCACCTTAAAGTAACATTAATTAATTTAAACACAAAACATATTTTAACTGTAATGAGTTTAAAAGTAACAATTTAATTTTAATATTGTTAGAATATTATTTAGCAGCGCTCCCAGTTTTTTTAACTAAAATTTTTTTATTTCTTTTTCACATGGCGCATGGACTTGGCATCTTGTTTATCTTTTTTTTAAAAGATAAGTTTTTTTATGGTACGATTCTACATTTGCAAATTTAAATTTTTACTGATTCATTATACGACTCTATATATGTCTGCAACTTTAATTTTCCACTGGTACAAGTTTCTACTTTCACTTGGCGCAATTTTTTTTTATTTCATTACTTTTGTTACGATTGTACATGGGTTTATAATCGATAATTTTTCATACAATTCTATTGTACATGGGTTTGCAATGTAGGATTCTACATAAGTTTGCAATGGATAATTTTTAATACAATTCTACATGGGTTTGCAATAGGATAGGATTCTACATGGGTTTGCAATGGATAATTTTTGTTAATGGCGTGCCCTTAACTGGTCGCCTTTTTTTACCTTTTTTTAAAGGTGAGTTTTTAGAGATTATATCATTCATTTTTGTATATTTTTATGACCGGAATAGAACAATTATTAAACATGTTTATCTAAACTTCTTTGCTTAAAATGATGTGTACAATCATATCCTAGAATCCTGATCATTCCTCCTAAAGCACCCTATTTATATAAATTTACCCATATGTGTGTGTGTGTGTGTGTGTGTGTGTGTACTAATGTCGAGCATTTTTTATACATTTTCTATTAAATTTAGATAAAAGTTGCAGGATTTCGAAAAAGAAAAAGTTGACACAGACTTTTTCCTAAACGGCGATTTTCAAGGTTATTTAAAGGTCACTTATATTTTCAAAATAGAATTACCTTAATTTTTCTCATATAAATCGATTCCTCGCAATATTTACTATAAAAAGTTGTAAAGGTATAATTTTTACATAATCTTACATAAACTTCGAAATATTACAAATATTTTATTTTATGAAATATTTCAGTTTATGTAAAATTATGTTAACTATCTTTTAAATTATTCACTTTTAGCCATCTTACCCTTACAACCTTTTATAGTGAATATTGCAACAAATTGGTTTATATATATATATATATATATATAACATCAGTTATTATTAATTGATGTTTACATTTATTTTTAGACTTACTAGAGCTCAAATGCTCCACATTTTTTGCAAAAACTGTTTATTCTACAGATTTCAAATATGCTTTTAAATGATGATTGAATATTTCCTTTTTTTAATTATTTTTATTATTATTTTTCAATCTCAATCAACTTTTATAACTTTATGCCAGCACGATACAAATACATGTGTCTTTATTTTTTTTATTATTTTCATTATTATTTTTCAATCTCAATCAACTTCTATAACCTTATGCCAGCAGGATACAAATACATGTATGTCTTTATTATTGTATCAACTCTTGTCTTTTCCATGTAACCATGTCTTCATAGTTTGAATTATCCCTTCATCTTCTCAATCTTTCGCAGAGATTTAATTAATTAAATACACTTCACACGAAATAAAGTTTGCTGGAAGATATACAGCAAACGATAACTGTAAAAACATGATTACGTGGAAAGAACAAGAGTTGGTACAGTAAAGGCAAGTAAGTAAGTACATGTAATGTATCGTATTGGCATAACGCTATATCCGCGGAGCAGATAATGTGGCTGTAGAGGTAGTCTGCAGTGCAGCTAATGTGGACGTAGATGTTGATTGAGATAATTGTCTAATATAAAATAGAATTTAAAAATTTAGTTTAAAAAGCTGTTGCATATATAAATAAAGTTTATTTTTTCTAAATTTGGAATATGTTTAATTAATTAATTTTTTAAGTCTATGTTTAATAAATTTTTTAAGTCTGTATTCAATAATTTTATTCATTTGATAAATACATGTATGTCTTTATTTTGATATGTTTAATATAATTAGAAATTCATTATTAATTAGATATGTAAACTATAAATTCATATATAATATTTGAAAATATATGTGAATATTTAAATTTTTATCTTCTCCTTCCTCTCCTTCAATCTCTTTAATATCAATATGTGTATGTGTGTACACGCGCGCACATTTGTACGTATTTATTTAATTATTGGATAGTTGAGAGTACTTAATTGATAAAAAATTATGACAATAATAATCCTTGTTTTTTTTCTTATTATTTACTCAGATTTTTTTGTCTATCTTATAAGATAAACACTTTAGAGATTGAATATTTCAAGTAAACTAATTGTAAGTAAATTTCACATTAATGCATATAGATGTTTAATCATGAATGTACTAAATAAGTACACAAGACGAACAGTGAGTGAGTGAGTGAGAATGAGAGAGTGTGTGTGTGTGTGCGTGTGTGTGTGAGAAAGAGAGAGAGAGAGAGAGAGAGAGAGAGAGAGAGAGAGAGTTAGCCAACATAACCCGCACGCTGCCGATCATGAATGTACTAAATAAGTACACAAGACGAACAGTGAGTGAGTGAGTGAGAATGAGAGAGTGTGTGTGTGTGTGTGCGTGTGTGTGTGAGAGAAGAGAGAGAGAGAGAGAGAGAGAGAGAGAGAGAGAGAGAGAGAGAGAGAGAGAGAGAGTTAGCCAACATAACTCCGCACGCTGCCGATATGGCGGAGCGCCACTATCGCCATCTGTTGTAAAACGTGCGAGATGGACAAAATTACCACTACATGCATCTTGCATGTGTTGTGTACGTGTGATATATGTGTGCGCATGTGTTGTATACGTGTGAATACGTGTAGCACGATACTACTATGTATGCGTGGTCGATGATGATAATGATGATGATAATAATAATGATGACGGGGACGTTTCTTAATAGAAATTTTTCATATTTCGACTTTGCATTTATATATCTCTGCTTACAAATCACGTAGAGCAGAAATAAAGACACTTTTATTATATAATTCGAACTCAATCTATCGATTAAGTCTAGTATAAACTCGATTGCTTCAGCCATTATTGAGGATTCGAAATATTATAAAGACTCAAATGTCCGACTCGCGTTAAGATACACGGTGTCTCCGCTACGCCCTTAACTGGTCGCGAGACACTACCGTGTCTCTTGATAGAACTTGTACCAAAGACAAACAAGTAATATTTTAACAATACCAAAAAAACAACTGCTTTTATACAACCTTTAGATGTTTTTGGCTTTAGAATCTGGAAAAATTTTATTCGAAGCTTCTCTGATAATGTTATTTTAAATAATTACGATATAAATTTACATTTACGCAATAACATTATAAAATTACGTCTTTGGCACACAATCAACTTTCTTCTCCAAGATTTCGAAATTTATTTAAATATAGTTGGTATAAAAGTGGCTATTTATCAACACGGCCTGAAAAGTTTGAAAATCCAATCAATTACTGTTATTTTAAAGAAGAAAAACATATACCGAAATGCAGCATTTGTGATAAAATGGCTTTTATACGTTGTGCATGGTGCAAAATTACTTCTGTTTTGAACACTTCTTTGAACAATACCATTATTGTGACAATTATATAGAATAAATAATATCTTATTTTGTAAAAATAAAATATTTACGCAAAATAGTATGAAAAATTATGTTACTTATGTACGAGATCCTGCATTAGTTTTCTACATTTTATAAACAGATTGTTAAATAAATTGTTTCAAAATACATCGTATGTAAGATTTCATTATTATATCACTATCAACCTTATAAGGAAACATCCTTCCAATTTTGATGATAAAAGATAATAAATTTTAAATGTAACGTTTAATATTTATGTCCCATTTGGATGGAAACAATATCTTGAAACGAAGCAATTGACAAAAAAA